GCCGAGTTCCTGTGGTCGGTCTCCACACGACTGGCCGCATCTTAGCTTTTGTAGCCTATCCATGAGGCCTCTCAGTCTGTGAAGATTGCAACTGAAGACAAGATGGCCAAGTTGCCGTAATGGAGATTCAGCAGCTTCTTGAACTGCTTCGCCTCTTTCTTCAGGTCCTTGTCGCCCATATCCTGGGGACGATGATTGGACATGCAAGCTGAGGTCCGAGCCGGATGGTTGAAGCCAAGCCGCGACATCCCAGGCATCCCTCAAGTGCAGGAGGACCTTCTCCAAGTGGGGCACGGTATTGAATTTCACGTGGCCCACCCAGGCGATGATGAGCGGCTTGAGCATGTCCTCAGAAGTGTCTACGTCAGTGGATGATGAGAAAAGCGGGCAACAACATGCCTGTTAAGACGGGTGACAGCATTCGAGATCACGGCGGCGGCATTCACCTTTCCTTGTTCCCCGTCCAGAAAGGATTTGTTGGCAGTGATCTTCAGCTTGAGCTGCTCGTCGTCGCGGATCGCCTGTGAGAAATGACGAATGTCACGCGGGACCCATGGATGAGGCTGGGCCAATGCAAGGATGATGTGGCCTTGAAGCAAGCCCTTTCCACTGACTTAAGAACATCCTCGGATGAGGTTGCCATGGCGAAGCACCCCGAATCACCCTCCCGATTCAGAAGTCGTCCTGGAGCAAGAGCTGGCTGGGAGAAGAGGTATCATGCTTCATCCAAGCTGGCCCAAGACCCTTCATGCTCATGCTTCCTGAGCAGATGTGCACAGCTCCTGCTCATGGCGAGAATGCGCCTGTGCCCAGCAGATCCCAGGGCGGCATCCTCCGCCAACGAGAACCTGGCTCATAGACCGCTTCGTTCCAGGTTTTAATCTGGGCGGGGCCCTGGGTCCAAGATCGTCACGCTGCCAGGGTGTTAGACTGGTGAATCTTAAGCCCATGACGTCCTTGGTTCCGTGGATCCTGATTCGAAGCCCTGTTGATCCCAGGTGCCATCCCTAAACTTAGTTCGGCTCCGAGCCTGTCTTTAACAAGTGTCGAATCGACGTTGATTTAATATAAAACCCTCAAAGCCCAAAACCCACCAGAATCCCCTATCCAGGCCGGACATCGTCCAGCCAAGATGCCTACACGACCACCTCCAAACTGTGAGACCCGAAGCCCTGAAGAATGAAGCCTACAAACCCCTGGACACCAATTTCAAAGAGACTGGACCCCCGTACTCCTCGACTCCGAATTAAGGAGAATCAGCAAAGCTGAAGCTGAACCTCCCAAACCAAGAACTTAAGCCTCATCTCCCGGACCTCCAAACACGAAACCCTGGGCCCCTGG